TTGCAAAAATATATCCAAGTGGACTAGCAAAACCCCAAAACCCCAAAACCCCAAACCAATTTATAAATGATTACTGTAGGAAAATATAATTAATGAATCAAATAATTAATTATTAGTTGAAGCATAGATGATATTCTCATCTCTTCTTCACAATTTAATCTTTAGGGCTATAAATCATGCTATTGTTATTATAAGAAGTTGCTACTCCTTTATAGTTAGCTCCTCCGCTAGTCCCACCGTTTGTCTTTTGTCCATATGAAAGTTATCTGCTGAAAGATTGCTGCTTACTTCCACTGGGATAGTTAGCATTATTTGTGTTGTTGCAACTTACATTTGAAGTTTATTTCTGAAAGCTAATTGGTGATTTTTTATTGTATATGGGATTGTTATTACCACCACTATTGCAATTATTATTGTTGTTACTATTGCCTGCCCAATAGTTACCGCTACTAGAGCTGTTGTTAAAAGAGCTCTAGTTATTGTAGAATCTAGATTATTACTACTATTATTGCTAATGATAATTATTGCTTTGATGATTTGAAATAGTTTGGGGTTAAAACACTCTTCTTTAAGGATTGTTTCCATAAGAATTAGAATTAGATTAGCCGCCGTAGTGATAAGAGTTTTAGTTATAAGACTAAGAGCCACTATAGTTATTATAAGAGGAGTACTATTGCTAGTAGTTTTGATTTTGCAATATCTAAAGTTCTTGTAGTTTAGTGTCATCAATCCAACCTATATACTTCATAAATTCAAGATCATTAAGCTTGTTAATTTTATCAGTTTCAGTGTTGTAGCCTCTTTGGGTGTTGTTATTTCTTTAGCTACCCTAATCTTGATAGTATTATTTTGAAATAATTTGGTAGATGTTCTCCTGATTTTCCCTGCTGCTTCCTGCACTGCTGTCAGAGTATTCTGACACATCCATTCCATTCTTAACCTTCTTTTTCTGTTTATTCCTTTTCCTATTTCTATTGCTTATCTTGAATATGTCTTGAAGAGTTTCAGGAGCTCCTTCTTCTAGAGCTATTCTCTCGTATTCCTCCTGCTGATTATACTTAATACTGTGAGACTTATTCTAATCTCTGAGTTTCCTAACCTACTCTTCATCTCTTTCATTAATTTGCTCAAGACTGCTGAGATACTTCTTCTGCTCCGGTGAAGACACTCTCTCACTGAAGCACTTAATTCTGTTGAAGATATTGAGACAAGGCTCTTTATTCAACTTAAAGCTGGAAGCACTGTCATCTCCTTCCGACATCTTCTTCTCGCTAGTGTGATTCTAAGTGTTACTGTTCTGCAGATATGGCTTTTTATGTTCAATTGAGTCGATAAAGAATGATGGAGTGAAATTCTTTTAGGTCAGTATGTTACGGTATTATCTCTCAGGGGTAGCTAACTCATGCCCATAGCAATGGCTAGAGGTATTAGGTTTAGTTTGGCTCCAATTAAGAGCTTTGAATATATTTGGCTCATAGTTTGACTTATTAGACTAAGCTGACTGTTGGTTTTGCTGTTTGATTAGTGGTTGTGTCTTTTTCACTTGCTCTGGACTCATTAATGATTCCGATGGAATATTTTGCAATTCCTCAGTTTTGCTTAGTTGCTCTATTTGATTCACTTCAATTTGCTCTTTATATTTTAGAACCATTGAGAATACTTGTTAGCAGTATTATTCTAGGTAATATGGAACATATCCTTCTAAAATTTTCTTTGATAGTTCTATCAATTCCTCTGCTGTCTTAATAATTTAACTTTAAGCAACAATCTCATCTATTAGAGTCTAAGGTAATACATATTCAAGACTTTCATCATCAAACCTAGCTTTATCATCTCTCCATTATAGTACCTGATAGCTCAAACTTTGCTTATTAGTGGAATAAAACACTGTTTGTAACTATTTTTAATGTTATAATCTTGAAATATCCAAACACAATTTGAAGTTATTATTTATGAAAGTGATGAACTTTTCTGATTCAATATCATTCTGCTTATTATCTAAAATGGCTAGTTCATCCATCAGTTAGTTAGATTGAAAAGGGGATATCTAAATCTTAGAAAAATCTAAAGGTCTGATCCTCCAATCTGAATTAATTTTATTTTAAATTGCTGTGGATTAGGGAATTTAGGCTACATTCACAAGGTATAATCCAAAATCTCTTTGAAGATGAGTAACCTCGAAATTCTCACTTGGGATAACCTTTAAAATGGTAGGATTTGCACATACTCTAACTAACTCTATCAATTAAGATCTTAGCTTAATACAGTCTACCAAATAGATAGTATTGTCAGAGGTTTGGATTAGTAACCAGCAAATAAAGCCATAATAGCTTCTAAATTTGTGATCAACATAATCCAAGAAGATAAAAGCTGACGATTTCTCAATAACTTAAATCAATTCTTCTAGTTTCATACTGGAATCGATGATTATTATAGAAGAATTAGCTTGTGGTTAATGCTTTAAAAGTGATATAAATTAGGTTTTGAAATCTGCTAATGTCAATTGCTCAATTTCTTCTTTGTAGGGATGAGTTTGATTTGAGTTATCTGCAGAGTTCATGAAATTGAAGAGAGCTCCTCTTTGAGATCTCTTATGAGGTGGCAATTTAGGAATGAAAGGGACATTAATCATATTATCCACAGAGTCTTGAAAATTACACTAGGGCTTATCAAGAGTATAGTTTGAATCACTAGCATATTATGCTGGCAAAGGATGAACCCTCACTTTTTTATCAGGGATCCTTGAAGATTTTATCTAATGTTTGATACTGAAAGTACAAGTTGGATCTCCAAGTCCAAGACTCTCATTCAAGCTAAATTAGTTAGGTAGCTCTTCTGTTCTAGAAGCAACTACATCTCCAGGAAGAATGAAAGGTCTTGAGAATAAAGACGAACAGTCATTACTATTGTCTTAATCATAATTAGTCAGCTGAGATGGCGATGGTGAAAGGTATGCGTTTGGTAAGAAACGAGACATTTTTAGATGAAATTTAACTGTTTATATATTCTAAATTTAAATTAATAAACTCCTTCCAAGTCCCATCACCCTAACTGCTAATTTATTCACTTAAAAATGACTCAATTTTCGAACATGGGGTTTTGGGGTTTTGGGGTTTTGGGG